AAAACTGCTCTCGCGCGGCAAGCACGCCCCCCCCCCTTCTCCCAACAACGAGCAAATGCGAACTCCCCTCCCCATTTTATTGGGGAATCCTTAGCCATGATGTGCCCTGCTGCCAGCGCATGTCCTTGGGAGAGGTTTCGAGATAATGGGTGGGGGAGCAAAGATGCAGAAAGGCAGAGGCAGCGAGACAAGGGACATCGATAGAGACAACGGCAGAGAGCGGAAGTTTGCTATCTCCCCCTCGAGGGGAACTATTGCATACAGTCCCAGTGCTTTGAACGTGTATCGATCGGCGCCAACGGATAGCGTTTTGAAAGAGAAGAAAACGAGCTAACCAAAGTGCGTGATTAGGCAACGAGTACCACTATTTTATCCTGAACTCTTTCGAAACGTAAGCGGCCGGCGCCGATCGATGCTTGTTCATGGCTGCGTCCAGCTACCGTCCCCTATCCTGTCTACAGCACTGGAGTGCTACCATAATGGTAGCACGTTGTGGCGCATCCCCCTCGTTTGCGCAGTAAGCTGATCCACGATCAACTCGAACACCATCCCTTCAACCGAGTAACTCTTCTAGCCTTGCCTGCATAGAGTCCGCTGACCATTGTAACCCAAGTTTTCCACCTTTCCATTCGTGATAAGAGATGATGTCCATTGTTCAAAGGTAGCTCTTTAGTGAATTCTTCACCCGGTCTGCGCTAAGCTTTCGCTGCAGGCCATGGTAGAAGCTCAGATGGTCAGGTAACCCAGAAACTCCACAATGGGGTCACTGGTGGTCAGTGTACTTGTGGGTAGAAGGGTTGGAAAAACGGGCGGTCCGCGCCCACTTTCAGCATGTCTAAACCCTGCTAACGAAGTAGCCTTCGCTGGGATCACTGCTCCTTTACCTCGCCATCATCAGAATGAGAAGATTCTTAATTACCTGCCGCATGACAGCGGACTAGGCTCAAATCGTGGAACTACCTAACACTGAGGACGACAATTTAGTTGAAAACTCAGACCACATGAAGTTCTACCTAGCAAAATGGTACAAAAAACAGCAAATGGCTGTCTACACCGACACTTTAGGCTTGTGACTGTTCCACGAAATTTTTACAGAGATACGACTGCAGTTTGGAATCGTCGGCCAGGCTCTCTGTAGAGAGATGTACCGAAACACCATACACATCGCTTTCGAGTGACGTACAAGAAAATATTTATGGTGTTCAAAAATCAATGGCCATGTATCGTATTAATGCTACTGTGCTTGTAAGTTAATAATCAGAATAAGGCTTTTGTTTTCTTCAAATAGTTCCTGTTCAGGCAGTGAAGAAGTGGTGGAGTCAAGTAAGAATGGTTGACGGCATTGGAATGAAGGCTATCTTCAGAGCTCAGCATGCACAGAGCACAATCAGTTACTTTACCAGGGTCTGATGCTTCTTCAATCCTCCTTGGGAATGAGGGACGAGGGGGGGTGGGTGTAGGAGGAGGCCAGTTGGTGAGGCTTGGCCATGCCCTTTCTGCTCATCTGCACGACATATGCTAACAATAAGGCAGCATTTATACTTCCCGACATCTACAGTACCGCAATTACTCATCTGCCTGAATGCACGATCAAAATGTAATCCTCGGCGATATCGAGCATGAGCTGTGTTCCTACTTTGCGGCAGTGTCCACCAGTGTCTACCGCCGCCCACTAGCGTTTAGAGCGTCCGGCAGGGTGAGCGACTGGGAAAGTATAGATACGATCTAGCGATTACCAGCGTCTACCAGCGTAGCATCCGGGAGAGGAAAGCATGATGCAATAGGAGAATAGCAGACAG